CCAATTCTGGGAGTTGAAGTCCACTCATCTTGAAGTTGAAGTCCACCAATTCTGGGAGTTGAAGTCCACCCATCTTGAAGTTGCCAAGGTTGAGAAACACTGGTCTAACTTGAGTTCTGGGGTCGAGATGCTCTTGGGAAGCCTACATCGAAAGGTTAACCCGCTGGCTTTTCTCCTGCTCCTTTAGAAGGCCGAACACGCCATTTGGCAGAAAGAAACCAGAACTGGGTTTGTTGGAGGGCGAGGACTTACACAGCGACACACAGTTCAGGCCAATCCCGGAAACAGCCATTCCCGTGAGGAAGCGAAAGACACAGTAAGGGGTGAAGCTGGGGATGAACGCCGTGCAGGATCCGGCAACGGCCATCTGGAAGCACGACCAGAGAAGCAAAGCCTTCCGGCCAAATCTACAACGAGGAAAAAACGGTCTTAACCCTGGGTGTTCGGGTGATTGTGAAAATCTCGTGCACGGGGTGGCCTGAAGAAGAATTGAGGAAGACCAAGGAGCAGAGGAAAGTATCCGCCCCGCTAACGGAGGACCCAGCCCTTCGATGTTATGCAAGCGTCGCGGAACCCAGATTCGCCGCGTTCACACAACCCGCTGCACCTGCACGCAGTTGCTGGGTTCACCGAATTCGCAGGAATTCCAGGAACAGCTAAGGGATTTCTTGCAGAGAAGCGAGGAAGCTCTTCTCAAAGCGTGCCAGGGCCTGCTGGGTGTCAGAAGGAAGTCCTGTTTGCGGGGAACTCGGATTTCACATTTTTGCACCTCTTTGCCTTCCCCAGGCTATGTGCGCTGGACAGCCTTCGCTTTCCCTTTCGAGTGGGGGGCACCCGACTGCAGGAGAGCGAACTCAGCCTATGGAAGGGGGCCAGGGGTCATATGGTACAGGGTTCCTTTATCTGGGGGGGGGCGCCAAAAGAGGCATTACACCGTTAACCCCCCAAGACCCCCCTCGACATTTGGCCCCTAATACAGATTTGCTTGCAAAGGTTGCCTAGCCCTGCATGGTTTGGAGGCACAGACAATTTCAGAGTTGGATCCTTTTCAACCAATAAGTTATAGACCAGAGGGTTGGAGGGGACCTTGGAGGTCATCTAGCCCTGCCCAAGACAGGAGTCCTCATACCATCTCGGACAAATGGTTGTCCAATCTTTTTTTGAAGCAACCTTTTCTTGAAAGAAACCACCTTTTCTTGAAGCTGTAACTGGCGGTTCCCCCTTTTTACAGATCCTCCCTCCCCACCCTAGCCATGTCCTCAAAATCCTACAGATTTTCAGTGGTGGTTTTTTCCCCCCATTTATTTCTTTATTTTATATATTGGCTTAGATTGCTATCCCACCTTTCTTTCAGGAGTTCCAGGGGGGTGTACAGCATGTTTCCTCCTCCAATTTTTCGCCACCACAACACCCCTACGAGGTTGGCTCCAAATCACCCAGGGAGATCCCATGGCTGAGATGGAACTAGAACCTAGATGTTTCCCCATTTTCCTCTGTAAATATATATTAGCAGTGGAAAATGTCGTGCCAATCAATGTTAGAAGATCACCTTCTTCTTATTTTTGGCCATAAACAGGCCGCTCTGAACGCTGAACTTGTTCTCACTGCACAAAGTCTTTTATTAAGCGGTGGAAATCTCAGGAGGTCCACAAAGGCCTCATTGAGTGTTGCATGCTTAAAATCCTACCCTCCGAGTTTATGAAATGTTGGCTAACATCCTACAGATTAGGCAACTGTGTTTGAAGGATCCATTGCTACATCTACCAACTTTCTCATTAGGGTCAAAAGAATCTGGTTTGATCGAAGGCAGACCCATGGATAAAGACCCACTTCTTACTTGTCAGAGAGGCCCCCAAAGACGATTGCACCCACCAGCACACCAGCCATGTAGATAGACTGGGCCAGTTGCTGGAGGCTCCGGAAGTCACACACCAGGTCCCACTGCAGGAGGACAAGAAGAATGGAAATATCACCATCAACAACCCATATAGTCATTGACCACAAGCTGACGTGAGCCACCAGTGGGAGAGAGCTGCTAAAAAGGCCCATGAAGTTCAGAAGAAGCATCATACCAAGACATGAGAAGATCTCCTCCTTCTCTCCCCGGCCCTGGTGAGACCACACCTGGAGGGCTGTGTACAATCCTGGGTATCCCATTTCCAGAAGGATGTGGACAAGTTAGAACATGTCTGACAAGTGGCAAAGATGATGTGGGGACCTAAAAGCATGCTGTATGAGGACAGGATGAAGAAACTGGGGATGTCCAACCTGGAGGACAGAAGACTGGAAGGAGATAAGACCATGTTTGGGGACATTAAATGAAGCTACAAGGGAAATGGCCAGGAACTAGGACCAGAAATAATGGGTAGAAGTTACAACTGCCTAGGTTAGTGTGTTTCAACCTTGGCAACTTGAAGAGGCGTGGACTTCAAC